AAAAAAAAAAAAAAAAGAAAGAAAAAAGAGAAAGAGAAAATGAAATTTGCTTTTGGACAAATGTCTTTGATGATTGAAGCAATATTGAAAATTCAATATATGATATAATGATAATAATAAATTAATAATATGATGCAGTACATTTTCTTTTTCCTTTTTATAATTCATCTTTCATATTTTTCCAATGAAACAAGATATTTTTTTGTTTCATTGTAAATCACTAGTGCGGTACTCCGTGATACACGAGCTAGTTTTTGTTGACATCCAAGTTAGCCAAACATAAACCGGAAAGGGACAACCTCAAAACCCATGCCGGAAACCCAAATAATTATAGAAGTGTCGAGCTGAACTTGAAATTAAGATAACCGCGGCCGCCGGACGATGTCATTACTGAGGCCTCACCCCTACCATCTGACAGACGGTGCCGACCTCGTTGATTGTCGAGCTGAGGAGAAGATTCTCGAATACCAGGAGAAGACTAAATGTTCAAGAGTCGACCTGGAGGTCCTGCATGACCTGCTCGAAGACAAGCGCGGAGCTCGATAATGATATAATAATGTCACTTGGCAGCTGATGATTATCGATTGGACAGGCCGTCATAGTTTGTTATCCTATAGCATCTAGCCCGACAAAATCCTGTCAGCATTAAATGCTCACCATGCGTGCATTAAATGCTTGACAGTTAATGATTAAGAAAACCTCAAATCGCATTAATTAACTGTCAGAGCGGCGCTGTCCTGCCCTGCAGAAATACTGTGTGACAAGACTGGTGAACAGTGCCAGACATGGGAGTACTATAAATAGAAGATCTTGCTCATTTATTAGAGTTGTTGAATTCCTCAACTACGACTTTCTCTCTCTAAAATTATGTAATTAATTTCTACATATACTCGAAATATAAGTAAAGTGTCGACCTCGTCATCAGAGTCGTGATTATATAATAAAACCTAATTTCTCTGTATATCTTTCTCATTCTCTCTATTTAGCCTTTATTAATCTTTATTTTAACCGTTGATCGGATTTGTCCATCAACAGTTTTACTAAGGTAAGAATTTAGATTTGATGATTATAATAACGTAAAACACATGTATTTGAATGAAACAAAATGTAACTTACATATTATTAAACACATCATTGCACACAACATTATTTGTTTGGTCTTTGTTGATAATTTATAGCTTTATCATTTTAAAACTATAAATTACTAAATTTAAGGAAGGGAAAAATTATGTAAATGTATGCAATCCATTCCAAGTTTGTATTCTAGAGGATTAAACAAAATCTAAAATTTTAGGATGTTTCAATCCGATTTCATTTTTAGTTCAAATTAATAATATCTGACTCTGTTTTATATTTAAAAAAAAATCAAGTCAAAGAAAACAGTAACCAAGTGATATTAGATTTTTAAATTTTTATTTTTCAATTTGAAATTGGGCCTGATTTCAATGAAATCCAATTTTTTTCAATAAACATGACTTGTTGTAATTAGGTAAAATACATGTTATATTATTTTACCTAATTCAAATATCCCGATTTATGGTAAACAATATTTTATATAAAAAAAGAGAGAATTTTGATTTTACAAAATTGTCGTGTCGAATTTTACCTAAATTAACCCAATTTCTATGAAACCCGATCTATTTTAAAATAAACAATTGACCTGTTGAATTAGAAAAAGATATATGTGTTAGTATTTTGTCTAATTCGAAATTTCCAATTTTATTGTAATTAATTTTTGTATATATATAAAAAATGAGAAAGAATTTGAAATTTTGCAAGATTGTATGTATCAGTCGAAATTTATCTAAATTAAATCCACAAAATCCTTGAATTTAAGGTACATATATAGTTGATTTATTTTATGGGAATAATTTAAAAGAAAATTCAAAAACTGCCAAAAATATGATGCAATAAATGCTAGTTGACTTTTTTGTTACTATTTTTTTATAAATAAGTTAATTATTTACATAGATAGATAACGATTAATGATGGGTTGTAGTAATTAGGCTTGGACCTTTAATTTAATCATTGAATGAATTAATCTTTTTCAATTATTTTTTATTATCTGAACTTAAGTCGACCCATAGTTTTTTTATTTTTTAAAATCATATTTTTATCATAAAATGTCTACTCTTGTTTATGTTGTTTTTAGAGTATGGTACGAAGTGTATATATTTACTAAAAAATATATATCTATTAAATTATCATGTTAGTCTAACATTAATTTTAGAGTATGGTATGAAGTATATATATTTACTAAAAAATATGACTATTAAATTATCATAACAGTCTAGCATCAGCTTTTGTAAATCTCAATTTTATTTTTGTATTACTAGTGCGTAGCATCAATCTGACCTATTCTTTTGCTACTAATTTTAGTAAATAGGATGACTCTTTATATAAGTATAGATTCGTGTGATTAGAAGTTTTTAGTAATCATCAAATTAGCCAAGTACCAAATAAATATATGCAACCATAAAATTGAATTAACTAAATTGATATAAATGCATGTAATCAAAATCTACTATTTAATTTTATAGTGTAAATTAATTGAATTGTGTAAGTGATTGTGTCAATTTTGTACGTAGTTCATTACACAATTAGAGCATCTCCAGTGCTCTAATGTTGTTATAGAAATTTTTTTGACATATGTCAAAAAATTAAATAGATTGTGACCCATGTAGGACAAATGTTGAGTTCACAACTATTAAATTAAAAAACTATCTCCAATGCACAATGTTGCCTAATTACAATATTATTTACTTGCCAAATACTAAAATTTTAATATGAATTAATAAAATTAATAAAATAA